GGGTTTTTCTACCTGCGGCTTTAATAACCCCGAATAGTTTTCGGCGGTTTTATGAAGGAGTTCCAAAGATATTATGTTAGGTTTTTCACTATCCAATATCTTCTTGCTATATCTAGTTTGATAGGATCTAATATGTGGGGACTGTTTTTTATGGTAGAATTACACTGGCAAAGATGCTATTGCTCATAACTTTCATGCTGCTTTACTTGGAGATGAGTCGGCGCTTACCGGTGGCAGTGGGAAGGTTGTGAACAGTGGATTGTGTTGTTTGTTTATATGGGTTTCAACATGGTATTGGCCTAGATTGAGGTTATTACTTTTGTTGTTTGGTTGATTTTGAGTGTAGATTCTCTTTTTAATTACTCAATCACCATCTCTCTTTTTAAACCTGCAGTGCGTTCTTTTCTATTATTCTTATTTTTAGAATTATTATACTAATAAAGTTACACCTGTACTTCAACTAAGTGTTTTAGTTTAGTGATAGGAACTGGATCCTACAATTAACGTTATATATGTTTATTGAATATGCACCTCTTCTTTGTTTCAATGCAGACATACAATAAAGCTTGCTCTATATAGTGGATTCTTAATTCATTGCAGGTAAACATTCTATTTTCATAAATATTCCAGCAAGTAATTATATGTGTGTGCTTACTCTATTATTTTAAGTTGTGTACATGAAAACCTGAATGAAGATAATATATAGGAAATTATCTCTTAGCTTTATTATCAACATATTTAAAAAGAAATTATGAAATATAGTATGCGAGAAGGATTTTTAGCTTATCTCTTAGCTTGTAGACATGTAGTGATTTAACTGTCTGATTTCTAGGTTTCTTCTCTCTTACGAGAAGGATTCTACCGTAAAGCTTTGGGAAGTTGGCTCTGGAACATTAGTCAGATTTCAATGGTCAAAATTTTGGTCCAATTGCAGCATCCTTGAATGAGGCAATGTTTCAAATGGTCATTTAGAGTGGTGGCATGCCTATGATGGTCTAAATGAAACAAATGACCACCAGTTGCTCTCTGCAGAGGGTTCTCTTTTGAAAAACATGGTAATGTGAAGCACAAAATATTAATGTTTGGAGTTATGGTTCTGATTCCAGCTATACTTGTTCCTTAAATGGGTGGAGGAGTTGTAAGAACTTTTTTCATTTTTATTGTTTGCTTTAGAGATTTTGAATATAGAAATGAAATTGAATGCTTTGATTAATGTAGGATGAGAAGACACGAGTGTTTCAGACACTCGTTTGTTTCTAGAATAAGCACATTTCTTCAATCCTTGTTTGGAACTCGACTTCCAATTGTAGTTGCTGGTTCATACACTTACATAGTACGTATAACATCTATTATCTTATATATCATTTGTTCATTTTAGTTTTGATTTATTAGGTTAAATTCAGTCTGATATTAAATTTATAATTTATATTTCTATAATCAGTGTCCAAAGTTGAAAAATAAAATGGTTAAAGGATCAAATATTTCTTCGCTCTCTGTTAGTCACCGTGCCCTTTGAGTTTTTGTTTTTTACTATTTGACTACTTCGGTGCTCTCTTACTCAGGAAAACTCTGACTCAGGAAAGCTGCTTAGAAAGCTCTATTCAGAACATGGAAGAAGTGCATAAGCTTCTAGATGAACATTTTCATTCGGTGAACATGTTTCTCTTTAATGAACATTTTTCATTCGGTGAACATGTTTCTCTTTAATGTATATTTGAAAAATGTTACTATTTTTATTACGTGTTTTTCTTTATTATAGCTTTTTTTATCATAATAAACTAAATAATATATAAAAAAAACAATTTGACATGCATTTCCGGCGGTTTTTGAAAACTCTGCCATTCCGGGCGGTTTTTGGAAAATCCCTGCCATTCTCGACGGTTTTTACGAAACCTCTACCGGTGGTTTTTGCAAAACCCTTGCCATTCTCAGCGATTTTGAGAAAAAACCGCCAGTAATTATTTACCAACGCAACTTTTTCCAGGGGATTTTTCAGGTGTTAAAAGAAGAGCCGCAGTCACCGCTGAGCGGAACTTTTACCGTTGAGCGGAACTTTTATCGTTGAGCGGCATTCTGAAGCACCGCAGTCACCGCTCAGGGCCAAAACTGCAGCTGAGCGTCATCTTGAAGAGCCGCACTTACCGCCGAGCGCCAAAAGTGCCGCTGAGCGCCATTTAATTGGGCTTGGGCCTATTTTCTTTAATTTTTAATAAACTATATAAGGGTTTAGTCGACCTAGGGTTGATATCTTTGGACAAAAAGAGGCGAAATCACACTTTCTTCACCTCTTGGAGGCGGATTTTGGATGTGGAAGCTCTTTTCTTCAAATTCTAGGGTCCTATCTTTCATTTTTTTCATTATTTTCATCTAGTTTCACCATGTCTATGGTGAACTAACCCTGCATTATTGTTGGGGAACCGATGTAATCCTTTGAAACTCTCATGTATTGAATTGGTTCTATATTTTATATGCTTTGCTTCATTAATTGTTAGGGTTTTTCTTCTACACTCTATGCATGCTTTGTTTAACTCATTCAATTGCATGATCATTGATGTTATCTATATGGACACATATAGGTAAATCTAGAACTGGGGAAATTCTCCCGCAAGCAATATTACCTAGACATAGGAATAGGCGAATCGGTTGCCTTTAAGCCTCTGTGCGAATGTAATGCATGAATAATTGCTAGGGAGACAAGACATTGTAAACTAGTGATTAGGATTAGGCTTTCTTCACCGAGACATCGGGTTTAAGGTAAATTAGAAAGTGACATTAACATTAATGAAGAAAGATGAATTTTTGAATACATGAGAGTGGATAGGATAAGTCGGAAACCCCACCAACATAATCATTCATATTCTACATCAATCGCTTTTGCATCTTTCAATCCAATTGATCAAAACTTGCATTCATCTTTATTTTCTAAAATTCAAACACAATGATTTTGTTCACAAGTCTAATTTAATGAAGAAATCACATAACTGTCTAGGTCGTGAGTTCTTTGGGAAACGATACTTCGTCTTACCATTTTATTATTACTTGATACGATTCAGTACACTTGCCGAGTGTTAACAAGTTTTTGGCGCCATTGCCGGGGACTCCTGGTTTAACTATTCTATTTGTGTGATTATTGATTAACTTTGACACTATTTTTGATTTTTTATCTTTTTATTTTTTTATCTTTTTGTTTTATCTTTTTATCTTTTTGTTTTATTTTTTTATTTTTCTTTTTATCTTTTCTATCTTTTTGTTTTATCTTTTTATTTTTTTTTTATCTTTTCTATCTTTTTGTGCTAAGAATTGTTTCTAGGGTCTTGTTTTCTTGTGTATGCAAGATACAATTCGGACTAGGAGCAAGAAAACAACGAAACCTCTTCTTGAAGGATTAGACGAAAGTAAAAGGAGGAGGAGAATTCAAACATCTAGATAATTATTTCCTTCTCCGGAAACACTTTTACAACCCTCACCACAAAGATCTAACCAAAGTACTGAAGAGATGGCTGGAGAAAACAATGGGAGACGTACTCTGGCGGATTACACCAATGTTGTTGGCCCTGATCACTTTAACAGCATTGCTAGGCCGAGGGTCAATGCTGCAAACATGGAGGTGAAACCGGCATTGATACAATTGGTGCAGAGCAACCAATTTAATGGACTGTCACATGAAAGTCCATATGAGCATCTAACCACATTCAACGAGATTTGCAACACTGTAAAGATCAATGGTGTGCTGGATGATGCTATAAAGCTTAGTTTGTTTCCTTTCTCATTGGGAGGCAATGCTAAGCTATGCTTGAATTCTTTCCCGGAGTACAACTTTAGTGAATGGGAAGCCGTGGTTTCAAAGTTTCTAAACAAGTACTTCCCACAATCCAAAATTAACAAAAGGAAGCAAGAAATTTCTTCGTTTAGATAAGGCATGGAGGAGACGCTAGGTCAAGCATGGGATAAATACAATTATTAAGAAAGACGCCCACTCATGGCTTTGACGAAGCAACAATAGTCATTCTTTTCCTTGGAGGTCTTGGTTCACAAACCAAATTGATGCTAGATGCCTCAGCTGGAGGTAATATTAAATGCAAGACTCTAGAGGAAGTTTTTGAATTGATAGACAACATGGCTACTAATGACAACGAGATGCATAGTGAAAGAGGAGCTCCACCTCAACAGAAGGGAGTCCTACAGTTGCAATCTCAAGATGCCTTACTTCACAAAATAAAATCATAACTCAACAATTGGAGAATTTGACAAAGACACTTGCTCAGTTGCCAAAGGAGTTGAAGAACGTTTCACAGGTTCAACAACAACTCTGTGAATTGTGTGGTGGTGACCATATTAATGGTCAATGTGCTTTTCTAGTGGAGGCCTTAGAAGATGTCAATTTTATGGCCAATCAATTTCAAAATCAATCCCAATACCGCTAAGGGAACTTTAACCAAGGGTGGAAACCTCACCCAAGCATGGGTCAAGGTCAAAATGGACAAGCTGGACAAGCAAGACAAGTTAATAGACCACAACAGCAACCATCACTATGGCAACAAGTATCTACGCTAAATGAGAGATCAACAAAGCTTGAAGAAACTTTTCAACAATTTATTCAAGTGATTATCTCCAATCACAAGAGCACTGAAGCACAATTAGAAATCTGGAGATCCAGGTTGGCAAAATGGCTAAGAAGTTGGAGGATATGCCTGACAGGAGTTTTGGGGCTAATACTGAAGTTAACCCTAAGGAAGAGTGTAAAGCTATTGTGAGTATATGTGATGAGAGGGTGAATGAAAAAGAGAGAGTTAAGTTAGAAAAGAGAGACGAAAAAGAAGAGAGAAAAGGTGAGGATGAGAAAAAAGACAAAGAAAAGAAGAGGGGAGTGAAAAATTGTGAGAAAAGTGAGAGTTCTTCCTTATCCTAAGGGGAGTGAAAAATTTGATAAAGAGAGACAATATAAGCATTTTAAAGAGATCTTCAAGCAATTGGAGATTAAGATACATTTGACTGAAGCTATGCAACAAATTCCTGCTTATGCAAAGCACATGAAGCAAATCCCCGCAAAGAAGAGATATCTAGAGGAGGAAACTAGTGATAAACAGGGAAAATGCAGAGCTATTTTGGAGAAACCACTTCCACCAAAAGTGAAAGATCCAGGAAGTTTTACTATTCCTTGCGTCATTGGGAAGGAAAATATAAGGGAAGCCTTAATTGATTTAGGGTCAAACATTAATTTGATGCCCTTATCTATGCTTCAAAGGATTGGTGATCTTGAAGTCAATCCAACCAAGGTGACTTTGCTCATGGCGGATGGATCTTCCAAGAAACCCTATGGTGTAGTGGAAGATGTGGTGGTTTGCATAGACAAACTTAAATTCCTGGTGGATTTTGTGGTGATAGAGATGAAGGAAGATGAGAAGATCCCAATTATTCTTGGAAGACCGTTTATGAAAAGGGCAAAGGTAATCATCAATGTGGATGATGGGTTGATAGTTCTTCAAGATCGAGAAGAAAAGGTGATCTTTAATGTCTTCAAAGTGGAGTCGCAAATTCAAGAGAAGGAGGCTAGTCACAAAGCTGCATGTAAGGATGCACAAGTGATTAGCTCGAAAGCTGCAAAGCCGATCATCAAAGGTAAAAATTGTTTCTTGTCACAGGTTAGGGAAGAAGAAAAAGATGACAAAGGAAGGAAGGTTCATGATGACTTGATGGATGCACAATTCAAACTTGGCACACCGGTAAGATTCAAGAACAAGTTGTGGGTTGTGAAAGATTTCAAAGAGAATGGAGTGATATAGATTGAAGCTCCATATTCAAGGAGAGTCAAAAAGGTGGACCAAAAGAAATTGATGAGTTGGTGTGATGAAAGCAAGAGGAACACCAACATTGAAGAAGGAACTTGAGCTTTATTGGGTCAAGCTAGTGACGTTAAAAGAGCGCTTGCTAGGAGACACCCTAGTGATTTGAAAACATTAATTTCTTTGAATTTATTTATTTTGATGATGTAATATGAAACTTGAGCATTGTTATATTTGGGTTTAGCATCTATTGGTGGATGCTAGGTTGGTGAGTATTTACTGAAGGATATTAAGAAGGTACACCTACTGAAGGGTGATGGTAAGATTTGCACCTACTGATGGGTGCTGGAGGATTTTGGGTCAGGCTCATGACGTTAAACAAGTGCTACTTGGGAGGCAACCAAGTTGATTGAATTTATCTTTGTTTGTTTGTTTTGATTCTGCTCTAGTTGCATTATAGGGATTGATTGTTTGAGTTATGTGAGAGACTAAATGCATTGAGTAAGTGAAAGGTATTGGTAAAGGACACCTAGGGCAAGCTAGGAAGAAGGGGACTTGGTGTCGTGTATGCCGCTTAACGGGAATTACCGTTGAGCGTGAACGCTGCAGTTTTGTTGACTGGTCTTCTGTTAATTAGGCTTAGTGGGATTTGGCCCATTAGGTCATTTTTATACCCTAGGGTGCGTCTTGGCCGCCACTTTCAGATCTCCCTCTCCCCACACGCTCTCAAGCACTCTCTAAAGAGTTCTCCAAAGTGCCCTCCAAAAAGCTCAATGCAAAGGAAAGTTGGGAATAAGAAAGAATGGTTGTGTTTAAATGATGATTCTCTTAACTCAAGGATTTTGTGATCTAGAAAAACCAATTTTCTTCTTAGCCCATCCACATTATAAGCCATAGAAAAGTCCTTGTGATGATGCTTGCTTGTGAGTGTGTTTAATTGTGGTTAAATGAAAGGCAAAGTTGATTCATGTGACATTGTGATAGTAGAGTGAATGAGTGACCTCTATATACACTTGTGTGATTGAGTGAGACACTTTATCTAGTGAGGAATAATTTCATGAGCATAGGATTACATCTATGCTTAGTTAATTGATCATTCATGAGAATAGCATTTGTTGGATACTATCTGACTATGTGAATACCACAATGAGCTTAATTGAATCAAAGCATGTGTGCATCTTAAGTGAATTCTTTTTTATGAGCTGATTTGAGTAATTACTTGTTTTGAAAGAAAGAGTTTTTGAATGTGGTGAACCATTATATGGAATGGTGGAAGACTGAGTTACATCTTGTTTGTTTGAGGACAAGCAAAGTTCTAAGTTTGGGGTTGTGATAACGGTTGAAAAACCGTTACTTTTATACTTAATTTTCATATTAAAAACAACCTTTATGACTTAGAAACTAGCTTGGAATCATGTTTTTGCTTAAGTTTTGGAAATAAGAGAGTTGGATGGGTTTTATGCTTGGTTTTCCTTGTTTTGGCAGGAATTAAGATGAATTACATGAAAAAAGTTGAAGTAGTAAGGAGCTGGACTCAGAAAGGGAAGTAAAAGTGTACAAAAGAAGAGTCGCAGTCACCGCTGAGCGGAAGTTTTACCGCTGAGCGACATTCTGAAGCACTGCAGTCACCGCCTAGGGCCAAAACTACAGCTTAGTGTCATCTTGAAGAGCCGCACTTACTGTTGAACGCCAAAAATGTCGTTGAGGGCCATTTAATTGGGCTTGGGCCTATTTTCTTTAATTTTTAATAAACTATATAAGGGTTTAGTCGACCTAGGATTGGTATCTTTGGACAGAAAGAGGCGAAATCACACTTTCTTCACCCCTTGGAGGCGGATTTTGGATGCGAAAGCTCCTTTCTTCAAATTATAGGGTTCTATCTTTCATTCTTTTCATTATTTTCATCTAGTTTCACCATGTCTATGGTGAACTAACCCTGCATTATTGTTGGGGAACCGATGTAATCCTTTGAAACTCTCATGTATTGAATTGGTTCTATATTTTATATGCTTTGCTTCATTAATTGTTAGGGTTTTTCTTCTACACTCTATGCATGCTTTGTTTAACTCATTCAATTGCATGATCATTGATGTTATCTATATGGACACATATAGGTAAATCTAGAACTGGGGAAATTCTCCCGCAAGCAATATTACCTAGACATAGGAATAGGCGAATCGGTTGCCTTTAAGCCTCTGTGCGAATGTAATGCATGAATAATTGCTAGGGAGACAAGACATTGTAAACTAGTGATTAGGATTAGGCTTTCTTCACCGAGACATCGGGTTTAAGGTAAATTAGAAAGTGACATTAACATTAATGAAGAAAGATGAATTTTTGAATACATGAGAGTGGATAGGATAAGTCGGAAACCCCACCAACATAATCATTCATATTCTACATCAATCGCTTTTGCATCTTTCAATCCAATTGATCAAAACTTGCATTCATCTTTATTTTCTAAAATTCAAACACAATGATTTTGTTCACAAGTCTAATTTAATGAAGAAATCACATAACTGTCTAGGTCGTGAGTTCTTTGGGAAATGATACTTCGTCTTACCATTTTATTATTACTTGATACGATTCAGTACACTTGCCGAGTGTTAACAAGTTTTTGGCGCCATTGCCGGGGACTCCTGGTTTAACTATTCTATTTGTGTGATTATTGATTAACTTTGACACTATTTATGATTTTTTATCTTTTTATTTTTTTATCTTTTTGTTTTATCTTTTTATCTTTTTGTTTTATTTTTTTATTTTTCTTTTTATCTTTTCTATCTTTTTGTTTTATCTTTTTATTTTTTTTTTATCTTTTCTATCTTTTTGTGCTAAGAATTGTTTCTAGGGTCTTGTTTTCTTGTGTATGCAAGATACAATTCGGACTAGGAGCAAGAAAACAACGAAACCTCTTCTTGAAGGATTAGACGAAAGTAAAAGGAGGAGGAGAATTCAAACATCTAGATAATTATTTCCTTCTCCGGAAACACTTTTACAACCCTCACCACAAAGATCTAACCAAAGTACTGAAGAGATGGCTGGAGATAACAATGGGAGACGTACTCTGGCGGATTACACCAATGTTGTTGGCCCTGATCACTTTAACAGCATTGCTAGGCCGAGGGTCAATGCTGCAAACATGGAGGTGAAACCGGCTTTGATACAATTGGTGCAGAGCAACCAATTTAATGGACTGTCACATGAAAGTCCATATGAGCATCTAACCACATTCAACGAGATTTGCAACACTGTAAAGATCAATGGTGTGCTGGATGATGCTATAAAGCTTAGTTTGTTTCCTTTCTCATTGGGAGGCAATGCTAAGCTATGCTTGAATTCTTTCCCGGAGTACAACTTTAGTGAATGGGAAGCCGTGGTTTCAAAGTTTCTAAACAAGTACTTCCCACAATCCAAAATTAACAAAAGGAAGCAAGAAATTTCTTCGTTTAGATAAGGCATGGAGGAGACGCTAGGTCAAGCATGGGATAAATACAATTATTAAGAAAGACGCCCACTCATGGCTTTGACGAAGCAACAATATTCATTCTTTTCCTTGGAGGTCTTGGTTCACAAACCAAATTGATGCTAGATGCCTCAGCTGGAGGTAATATTAAATGCAAGACTCTAGAGGAAGTTTTTGAATTGATAGACAACATGGCTACTAATGACAACGAGATGCATAGTGAAAGAGGAGCTCCACCTCAACAGAAGGGAGTCCTACAGTTGCAATCTCAAGATGCCTTACTTCACAAAATAAAATCATAACTCAACAATTGGAGAATTTGACAAAGACACTTGCTCAGTTGCCAAAGGAGTTGAAGAACGTTTCACAGGTTCAACAACAACTCTGTGAATTGTGTGGTGGTGACCATATTAATGGTCAATGTGCTTTTCTAGTGGAGGCCTTAGAAGATGTCAATTTTATGGCCAATCAATTTCAAAATCAATCCCAATACCGCTAAGGGAACTTTAACCAAGGGTGGAAACCTCACCCAAGCATGGGTCAAGGTCAAAATGGACAAGCTGGACAAGCAAGACAAGTTAATAGACCACAACAGCAACCATCACTATGGCAACAAGTATCTACGCTAAATGAGAGATCAACAAAGCTTGAAGAAACTTTTCAACAATTTATTCAAGTGATTATCTCCAATCACAAGAGCACTGAAGC